CCCATGAGTCATTACTGCCCTACAATGAGCAAGAGACTTGCTGCAAGACTTGCCTTGGATTTCTAATGTTTTCCATTTTCTTCATGCTGCAGACCAAAAAACACCTGAGGAAGAACTGTGAGCTGCTGTTTTCCTAATGCCATCATTTGGGCTGTCTCCCTTTCCCTCTGCTCCTGCAGGAGACACAGAAACCTCCTGTGTATAATAGACCAAGGCCTCCATCCTGCAGGGCGTGTGCAAGGTACGGAAATGCAAAGCAAGCGACTCGCAGTTATGCAGTTCATTTGGGTTTTCATTCCAGTTTTGGACTCTGCTCTCTGGGCTCTGTAAAAAAAAAAAAAAAAAAAAAAAAAAAAAAAGTTTTATATTTGTTCTGTCTCTCTCACACACACAGAGGAAGGGGGAGGTGGCAGGGGTGCTAACCCTATTTGTCATGGCATTTCCCAATAGCAAGTGTTAGAAATGTCATGTGTCCAAGCCAGTGCAGGACAGAGCTCAAAGCATTTGGGCAAACTTTGTGGCAGGTCTGCCTTGACAAAAATGTATTCCAGTGGGCTTACCTCAGCACATTGTGAGACATATGTGTGTGCAAATGTGGGACCTAATGGTCAATATCTTCCTCAGTTGGTTCACCACCGTATTTTGTGTGTGTGTGTGATATACATGCGTGTGGCTGTGTTATGCACATGTGAGTGTATGCAAACACACACACGTGAACAAGAAGTGTAGGCCAGATGTTAAAGTTGAGGGTCATTTCCTTTTTATTTTTTCAACATTTTTATTTATTTTGTGTGATGGGGTAAGCAAGCTTGTGCCACATGTACATATGGTCAGATGTCAACCTGTGGCAACTGGTTCCCTTCTTCCACCATGTGGGGCCTGGGGATCTCACTCAGATCCTAAGACTTGGTGCCAGGTGCCCTGCTCTGCTGAATCATCTTGTCAGCCCAGTTATTTTTTAGAGACAGGTTCTCGCACTGAACCTGGACTCCACAGACCCAGTGGCCAGCATACCCCAGAAATCCTCTTGTCTCACTCAGCTTCCCTGACGCTGGGAATACAGGCATATTGCTTGTCCAGCTTTTTGTGGGGCCTTGGAGACTGGGTTCTAGTTCTCAGGCTTGCAGGACAAGCGAACACTTCACTGGTTAAATCATCTCTCCTCCCCTCACTGATTTGCTGCATATCTTTTGTGGCAGATAGCCATTACCTAGGGCAACAAGAAACTTCCTTTAAAACCTTTAATCCCAGCATCAGGAGGCAGAGGCCGGCGGATTTCTGTGAGTCCGGGCAAAACGAGTTCAAAGCCAGCCAAGGCTACACAGAAAACCCGTGTTTCAAAAGACCACACCCACCCACCCAGCCAGCCAGCCACCCCCCCTCCCCCACACACACAGATCTCTTACGTGGTTAACTCTTTACAGCTGTTCTCAACCTGTGGGTTGCAACCCCTTTGGCAAACCTCTGTCTCCAAAAATATTTACATTATGACTCATAACAATAGCAGAATTACAGTTATGAAGTAGCAACAAAAATAATTTTGTGGTTGGGGTCCCCACAACCTGAGGAACTGTATTATAAAGGGTCCCAGCATTAGAAAAGTTGAGAATAACTTGGTACATGAAGGTGAGGTCTCCCCCAGCAAGGTAGGATCACTCAGTTCCAGTCACCCAAGCCAGATCCAAGCACTTCCAGTGGTCAAGTCCAGTCCAGGGCCCAGGCACTGAGTGGCGTTCAGCCGGGAGCCGTGACCCTGGCTCGCGTGCCCGTGGGCAGGTGTTCCGGACATTTAGCAAAGCAGCGCGCCTAAGAGGTCGCGGCCCCACTGCCGGCCGCGCGCGCGACTCTGGCGCGCACACTGCCCTGCCAGCCCACAGCACCCGCCCGTGGACCGCATTCGCTCGGGGCGCGCATGGGCCAGGCCCGCCTCCGCTGGTTTTCGCTTTCGCTTTGCACCTACTTTGCAGAGAAACAAAGCGGCCACGACGACTAGAGATGCGTCAGCGGTGAGGGGAGCTGAGAGCGGCGGCCTGGACCCCGGACCCACAGGCGAGGTAAGCGCAGCCCCTGCCGCTCGCGGGCTCCTCCTTGCGGAGCAGGCGACAAGCTCCGGGTCCACGAGGGTCACAAGGACGCCTAGTGCGGGGCGGGGAAGGCCTTAAGCATGGCACGGCTGGGGTCCGAGTGACTCAGAACCACCAGGTCAGGCTGGAGGATCCAGGATGCCTCGAACCTGGGATATAGCCGTCCGGGGTCTCGGCCTTCTCCCACGTTTTATTTTTGCAGCATTCTCTCTCTCTCCCTGCTTCTCTCTCCCTCTTCCTCTTCTTCTTCCCTCCCTCCCTCCCCATTTCTGTAAAATCTCATGTGGGAGGATGCATCTGAAAGCAGAACCTGCCCTACCTGAGCTCACAGCAGCTTCTAACCTACCCTCCACCCAAGGTTTGTGCACCTGTCCTGCCTTCTGAGACCCAGAAACTCAGCCCAACTTTCTTGATCATAGCATTAGAACAAGGCCAGAAACAAGGCCTCTTCTAGGGTCCTTCCCCTATGTGAAGTCTGATGTTCTTTCTGAAGGAACCTCAAGCCCACGCCAGCAAAGATGGCCAGGGATGGGTACACTCAGACATTGAAGATAGCCCTCCCTGGACCACTGATCATTCTCCTGCCTCCCAGCAGAAGGATGGAATATGGAGCTGCCTTGTCTTGCCTTTGATGAGGTCTACACACTCTGGCATGAGAACTGGACTCTACCCCAAGCTCTGGAGACAGCTCCTGCCCTCAGGGCATTCCCCCCCACACACACACACCCTGGCAAGAAAAATTGTACAGCTGTGCTTTGGTAGAGAATACCTTCAACCCCAGCACTCTGTGGGCAGAGGCAGAGGGATCTCTGCGTTCCAGGCCAGCTTGATCTACACAGCAAGTTCTGTCTCAGCCAAGGCGACGCAGTGAGACTCCATTGTACAGTAGAGATGAAGTAGATGGCACAAGAGCCACAAGGTAGGACTACAGGGACCAGGTCTTCAGAAACTTGCTTACATTTGAGTGATAGCTTTCTGCCTGGCCCCTGGGAGCAAGAACCCCTTGTAGTCAGCTTCTGTCTCCACAGAAGTCAATTCAACTTTGTCCCAGATCTGATCCAAGGCCCATGGCTGAAACAAAACTCGATCTAATCTTTAAGAAGGGGTCTGGATTTGAGAACGGTGACCACACGTCCTAATTTGATAAAACATGGATCTCCCCTGTGCTTTTTCCTGGATGGTATGATTAGCTATTGCTTTTCGTACATTCGGTTTCGTGAGTCAGAAAGATTAGGTTTTCATCTCTTGTTTTGTGACTTGCTTTCACAGGCTGTTTCTTTTCTCCATAACTCCCTTCTCTGAGCCAAACTGAAACAGCAACCACGGGAAATAAATAGAATCCCCAATATTGCTTTCTAATAAAAACTAAGTGTATCGAACGTGGTGGCTACACCATCTGGACTTGGGCGGCTGAGAAGTTGGGAGGTGGAGGGGGACACAGAGGTTTGTCCTAATCCTTTCTGCAGACGCTTTTGGTTTTGCTTTTGATTGTTGACGGAACTTTATTAAATGCTTATGCTGTATTTGGCAAGGTGATCATATGATCACCTCTTCCTTCCAGTTTCCAATAACATTAAATCAGGTGGTGTTTCCTATTTTCTGTGTGCAGACACAGCTCATTTAGGAAGGGTATCTGCTCATTGGAAGTTGGTAGAATGCTCTTGTAAAACCTTCTGGGTCCAAAAATACAGGAAAGAGATTTTAAAATCATATAAATTAATATCTATGTTAAAGGAGGAATTATTGGAGTGGCTTTTTTGTGGTCCAGGTAGTCAGCAATGCTGTCCCCTGAGTGAAAGGCCAAGAATGCAGTGACGGTTCAGTCCCAGTCTCGTACTGAAGTCCCAGAGGATTCCTAGAGGGCTGCCAGTCTTCAGTCTGTGTTGGAATCCTGAAGAAGTAGGTTCAGTGCCTCAGGAACGAGCCTGATGAACTATCCCGGGAAAGTGAGGGCAAGCAGGCAAAACGCAGAAGCTTCCTTCTTCCACATCCTTTTATGTGGGCTTCCACCAGAAAGTGTGGCCCAGAGTTAGGGTGGGTCTTCCCACCTCAAATACCACGATCAAGAAAACCCTCACAGGCGTGCCCAGCTGATCCCAAATGTAGTCAAGTCCACAACCAAGACTGGCCATCAAACAATGCGCTTTTAGTTGATGAGCTATATCACTCATTTGCGTGGCAATTTTATAACTTTTAAAATGTCAGTTGTATTTTTCATTTTCTCCATTTCTGCATAGACTGTTTTTAAATTAATTTTGTATGTGTGTGTCTCAGCACACATGAAGGGCCGAGAACAAATTAACAGTTGATTCTCTACTTCTAGCCTGTGGGTCCCTAGGGTGAAGCTCAAGTCAGCATCTTGATGGCAAGCACCCTTTTCTCTGCCCTGCTAAGCCTCTTTATTTATTGTTTGGTTTTGTTTTGGGGGTAGCTTTGGTATTGGTTTGTTTGTTTGGTTTGGTTTTCTTTCTTCCTTTCTTCCTTTCCTTCCTTTCTTCTTTCCTTTCTTTCCTTCCTTGCTTTTTTCCTTCCTTCCTTCTTCCTTTCGTGTGTGTGTGTGTGTGTGTGTGTGTGTGTGTGCGTGTGTGCGCGCGCGCTGTATCTGCATGTATGACTCTATGCCAGAAGAGGGCATCAGCTCCCACTGTAGATGGTTGTGAGCCACCATGTGATTGCTGGGAATTGAACTCAGGTCCTCTTAAGCACTGAGCCATTTTTCCAGCCCCTGTTTTGGTTTTCTGAAACAGAATCTTACTATGTAGCTCTAGCTGTCCTAGAACTCACTATGTAGACCAGATTGGCTTCGAACTCCACAGAAATCTGTCTGCCTGTACTCCCAAGTGCTTGGGTTAAAGATGTGTATCACCATACCTGGCCTCTAAGCCTCTCTGAAAAGAAGGTCTTCTGGTGATTATTCTCCATCAGTCTTCCTAAAACTTTGTCCTCCATCGCGTCTACCATACTGATTCAGCTTTTATACTTAGTATTCTTTCTATATTTTGTTGGTTACTTTCATTTTGCAATAGATTCAAGCAGTGTACTTGTTTGTATGACAGGAAAATTCACTCCTGCCTCCTGTGAAACACTCTCCGTAGGCAAACAAGGGTACTGTACTGGCACTTTTGTCTGGACTCTTTCCTATCTCTTACAAACATTTGTACAATTTTCCAGATTATGTAAGTTATAGGTCTCCGTTTATATTGTGTACACACACACACATCTATTTAAATGGAATTCCCTAATTTATCCAGTTTCTAACCACGAAATTATATTGAAAGCCTTGAGTGGTGGGATTTAATTCATCTGTTTTTATTCTGTTCAGTGTAGATGTAGTCTTAGTTCTGTCGTTTTGTTTGACATATATTTATTGTGAATTATTCTTTTCCCACCCCCAGTTCTGTTTTTGAAGCAGGGTCTCATGTAGTCCAGTCTGGCCTCAAACTCAGTGTAGTTAAAGATGACCTTGAATTCCTGAAGATCCACCTCTCACTCTTCAGAACTGGGGTTCAGATATATACCTGTCTTCTTCTTCTTCCTCCTCCTCCTCCTCCTCCTCCTCCTCCTTCTCCTCCTTCTTCTTCTTCTTCTCCTTCTCCCTTCTTCTTCCTTCTTCTTCTTCTTTTCCTTCCTCCTCTTCCTCCTCCTCCTCCTCTTCATTGTTGTGGTTTTTGGTTTTTGGTTGTCAAGACACGGTTTCTCTGTGTAACAGTCCTGGTTGTCCCAAAACTCACTCTGTAGACTAATCTGGTCTCAAACTCACAGAGGTCAGCCTGCCTCTGCCTCCCAAATGCTGGAATTAAAGACGTGTGCCACCACTGCCCGACCCATTTTTTTCTTTTTATAAAGAATTTACTTGGGGCTGGAGAGATGGCTCAGTGGTTAAGAGCATTGCCTGCTCTTCCAAAGGTCCTGAGTTCAATTCCCGGCAACCACATGGTGGCTCACAACCATCTGTAATGAGGTCTGGTGCCCTCTTCTGGCCTGCAGACACACAGACAGACAGACTATTGTATACAGAATAAATAAATATTTAAAAAAAAAGAATTTACTTTTACTTATCTGCATATTTATATGTCTGTGTATGCTCATGCAGCCAGGAGTGTCTTTAGAGGCTGAAGAGATTGTTGGGTCCCCTGGAGCTGGAGCTGCAGGTGGCTCTGAACCAGCTGCTGTAGGTGCTGGCTTCAGAACTCTTCTGTCTTCTGCCAGAGCAACAAGTGCTTTCCACACTGAGCCTTCCCTCCATCCCTGCATGCTGTTGTTTTTCTTTAATGAAGTGGGGCCTTACTCAGACTGCCCTCCTGACCCTTCTACCTTAGCCTGTGGTCTCCAGTAGCTAGGACTACAGGCATGTACCACCATGCCTGACTTCCTTGTCCCCTTTTGAGTAGAGATTGGAAAGTTCCTAGCTTTACAAGGGCCATCATTCAGTTCTTTAAAATATATATATACTTATTCCATTTTTAATGGGTATGTGTGTATGCCTGAATACATACATGTACACCACATACATGCAGGAACCACGTAGAGGTCAAAGAAGGACATCAAGTCCCCCAGAACTGGAGTTATAGGTGATAGTGAGCTGCCATGTGGGTACTGGGACTCAAACCCAAGTCTTCTGCAAGAGCAGCAGAACTCTTAACCATCGAGCCATCTTCCCAGTCCCTGTCATTCAATCTTAAACATATTTTCTTATTAATGGCAAAAATTAATATTAATTTTTTCCTTTTAAACATGAAACCTTTTGAGCTGTTTTTAACTTTTATTACATTTACGTTGTGTGTGTGCGCGCACACACATATATGTGGAGATCAGAGGATCACATGTGGCGGCAAGTTGCTCTCCTTCCACCATGTGGGTCACAGGAATTGAATTGAAATCAACTCGTCAGACTTGGTGGCCAGTGCTTTACCCAACTAGTCATCTCGCTGGCTCCCTGATGTCTTCTGAGCTTGCTTTTACTATTTTTTTTCCCAACTTTCCCCAGCATTCCTATAGACACTGTCTGCCTAGAAGAATCATCTGGAAGTTTCCTATGTTACTAAATTCTTCTTGCTATGTTTCAAAACCCACATTCATTTTTCTACTTTAGAGATCTTAAGCCTTCCTCTCATCTACACCCTACTCATGTGATTGTGGGCTGAAGTGGACAGGGAAGGTTTAAACACGTTCCTTTGGCTCTCTGAAAATGCACGGTGAAGTGTAATGCTCCCCAGAGGCTCACATTCTCCGCAGTATATGCTGGAATCCCTGCTCTTCTGACCCTCGGCTGACCTCTCCTGGCACAGGCCTTTGGAGTGTTTGCAGAGGCTGGAGTCACTTCCTCATGCTTTGCAGAGTTTACTTTAGCTCAGTTAAACCAAACCCTCTGTTGGCTCGTATAAACTTCCTAGTAACTGAAGGTTCCACCAGCAACCCTGCCCTAGAATCCGAGACTGGCTAGAGGAACATGAAATTGGAAACTGAACTGCTGAGGACTAGTGATGTAGCTCAGGTGATAGAGTGCTTACCCAGCATGTACAGGGTCCTGGTGTTCATCCCCCAATACCGCACAAAACCCGGGGGTTATGGGAGAGGTGCTGGAGAGGTGATTCAGCCATTAGGAGCACTTGCTGTGTGGTTATGACAGACGATGGAGCTTAGATCCCAGCACCCACACAAGTCCAGGTGCCCCATGCCTACTTGTAAGCTTAGCTTTGAGGAGAGCAGAAACAAAGATCACTTGGGACTTTGCTGCCTTCTAGTTTAACTGAGAAAAAAAAAATGCCAGCCCCAGGTTCAGACAGAGACCCTGCCTCAAAGGAATAGACAGAAAATGATTAAAAAAAAATGGGGGGGGCCTTGATACCCTCTTCTGACCTCTGCATATACCCAATTATGTGTGTACACACAGAGATATATAAATCTTAATTTAAAAAAAAATAGGCATGGTGGCAAACCCCTATAATCCCCAAGCTTGAGAGGTAGAAGCAGAAAGATCAGAAGTTCAAGATAGTTCTTGGCTATGAGTCTGAGAAAAGTCTTGTTTCAAAAACGAATGGGCTAGAGAGGTAGCTCAGTTGTTAAGAGCACTGACTGCTCTTCCCAAGGCCCAGATTCAATTCCAAGCACCCTCATGGTGGCTAACAGCTCAAGTTCCAGGGAATCAATGTCCTCTTTTGACCTCTATGGACACTCTTAGACGTGTGGTATACAGACATTCAAGTAGGCAAAACATCTGTAGCCATAAAATTTAAAGCAAAGCGACAAGACAAACATGGAGCTGATGGCTCAGTGGTTAAGAGCACTAGTTGCTCTTCAGAGGACCCAGGTCCTATTCCCAGCAGCCACAGGGCGGCTCACAACTCCCTGTAAGTCCAGTCCCAGCGGTTCCAGAGGTTTTTTCTAGTCTGCACCTGCATCAGTCATATACATACATGTAAACAAAACACATACACTAACACACACCCTGCGAAATTAACTTTCCCCTGCCCTAACAGTCTGCCAGATATTTTACCATCTGCAGGTACACCCAGGTCTTTTTTATGCTTTTAGAATCCAGTCAGGCTCCTGTGGCCTCTGTGTGCAGCTAGAGGACTGAGGGTGGGGTGGGGGACAGATGACAATGCACTGCCGGGAAGGAGCCTTCCTCATCATCTCCCAGTCTGCTCAGAGTACTAGATCCAACTTTTCATAGGTGCTAAGACGGCTCTGTAACACACTGACTGCCTCATACCATCCTGCTGCAATCATCCGGAGACCTGAGTTTGATCCCACATAGTAGAAACAGAGAAACGCCTCCTCCAAGTTGGCCTCTGTCCTCTGTTCACACGCACATGCCCCAAATTTACACAACACAGTGCCTTAAAACAAGACACACTTTGATTTGTTAATGCTTCTGAAAGTCAGAAGCCATAAGATGGAGGGTTTGGCAGTACTGCATTCCTTCTGGAAGCCTGGAGAGGAAACCATGGTTATTTATGCTCACCTGGATGCTCTCCCTCTCAAGACCCCAACTCAAGCACATCTGCAACACTGCCTTGCCTGTGTGGGGGAGCATACACAGAGTCTCAGGGAGTCAGACAGCCCACCTTTGGAGGGACTGCCTTCCAGCTAGCCACCTAGCACACTCTGGAAAACACACATCCAAGTTCCTCACTCCTCTTACAGGACCCTGAGAGGTGCTGTGGTTCCCAGAGAACAAGGCTGCCATGGCTCCTTGGCAACAAGAGCCCTGAAAGCCTGGCCACGCCTCTTCTTAGCCTCACCCTACCTCCACACTGCTTCCTGCCTGTGACCCAGCCTGTTTCCTAAAGGCTGCGGCTTCCTACTGCAGGGTCGTCCCTCCCCAACCCCGGATGCTCTCACTCTTCAACTTTGCATTTATTTAGATGATCATTAGGTTAATAACAAATATCTCTGTGTTAATACTCTTAGAGGCAAGGGCCACAATGACTTGATTAATTAAATGTTTCTTATGTAACTAAAGATGCCATTGGGGCTAGGACCATGTCTAATTCTTACCCACGATTGTATTCCTAGCAAGGTGCGTGGCATGCAGTTGTGAGCAAGGAATGATATGGTCCGTGAGCTCTTGGAAAGGCATACAAGAGGAGTAAATATTTTATTGTCCTCATTTTCTACCTCCTGCACTTGGCTTCTGCCCAGGCGGTTTGTTTTGGGGTATGTGCACGCGCGTGTGTACACGAGCACGTGCATACACGTAGCATGGTGAATATGTGAAGGTCAGAGGACACGCTCAGTCTTTGATCCTCCCCTTCCACCTGGCTGGAGGCAGGGTCTAGATGTTTGCCTCTGTGCTGTGTACTCCCAGCTAGGTGGCCTGTAAGCTTCCCTTCTCCACCTCCCACTTCCCCATAGGAGTGAGTGATTGGACTATAGGTACCCGCACTGCTGCCCCTGGCTTTACATGATCTTGGCACTTGCTTGTGTGCAAGCACTTACCCGCTGAGCCAGTCTGCGGCTCCAGCTCAGCTTTTATCCTTCCTATGTCACCTCCAGCAGTAGAGTGGGAGCCTCAAGTGGAGGAATTTGTGTGTATGCAGCTCCCTTCCCAAACACCAGGGCAGTGCTGTATCCATTGGAGATTTGGGAATGACCTCCAGGATGCTCAGCCCCTCCAGGTTTTGTTTTTTTCAAACCCCTTTGAAATCAGGTGATGCCTGTCCTTCATTTTAATCACCCAGCCTAATTCTGCCACCAGGTCAATTGGCAAGGACCTTTTAAAAAGCATTCACCAGTTGCTATGAGGGTCGAAGAAATGAATAAAAGCCAAGCATATAAACTATAGCCCCTGGGTGAGAGTTAGCTGCTATGGTCATAGTGGCTCATAGGTTAATCCCAGCTCTTAGGAGGCAGAGGCAGGGGGATCTCTGTCAGTCAGAGACCAGCCTTGTCTAAACAGTGACTTCTGTGATAGCCAGAGCTATGTAGAGAGACCCTGTCTCAAATATGTGTGTGTGTGTGTGTGTGTGTGTGTGTGCGCACACACACACACACACACACACACACACACACGGATAGGACGAGCACTGTCCTCTAGCCTGACTATCTGAGTTCTATCCTCAAGACCACGAGTAGACAGTAGACAGAAAGAACAGATTCCTGAAAATCATCCTCTGACCTCCACACTCATGCCATGGTACATGCATGCCCCCCTCCTCCAAATCAATGAATAAATAAATGTAATAATTTTTTAATGTATGTTTCTGCCAGGTGTGGTGGGACATATGGACCTGCCTCCAGTCCCTGCACTTAGGCTGAGGCAGGACCCCTGGTTCCAGGACAGCTTTGCCTTCATATCGGGGTCTCAAATAAAATTTAAACAACAGCTGGGCGTGGTGGCCCATGCCTTTAATCCCAGGAAGCAGAGGCAGGAAGTCGAGGCCAACCTGGCTGACAAAGCAAGTTCTAGGCCAACCAGGGCTATATACATCCCTGTCTCAAAAAATAGAAATAAATAAAATAAATAGGCAGGGAGGGAGGAGAGGAAAGGACTTGCTTTGCAAGTGGGTGGCTTCAGCTGAGCGCTCTGGGTCCTCATTTAAGTGTTTTTCTGTCTGACCTGCAGGTGGCAGCATGTCCTGGGCCTCCTTATGATGTCAGGCAACTAAGAAAGAAGAAAATGGAGTCCCTCCTCCTGGAGACTTGCTAGAAAGCCAGCCATGAGTGAGTGTGAGCTTGAGCAGGGCCCTGTATTAGGTTTTAGGCATTGATGTGAACTATATGTGTTCAGTATCGAGGTTGTTTGTTGATATTCACAGGTTGTTTACAAAAAACCCTAACTGCAAAACCAGTTATCCTTACAGTGTTGCCGAGGCCATGGGGGGCAAAGGGAAGTGTACCCCAGTAGCTCAGCAAGTATGTGGTATGTTACAGGTAGGAAGTGTTTGGTGCAGGGCTCTTGAGTCTCTCCTCCAGCTGCTCTGTCGTGGTTCGGGTTCCACTGGGGACCTGTCCTGGCCCCTCAGATCCCAAGCTGTGTCAGCTCTCAGGCCAGACTTCTACCTCTGATCACCCCGTCCACCACCCATTAGCTTCGCCTTGCTTATCCTAAGACTTTCTTTGTGCTACAGTCATTTGAGGGGCTGGTGAGGCGGTTCAGGGGTTGAGAGCACTTCCTCTTATTTTAGAGGACCCAAGTTCTGTTCCCAGCACCTCCCAACCCATACCTGTAACTCCAGCTCCAGAGAGTCTGATGTGTGTCTCTGGCCTCTCCCAGCACCCTCAGACATGTGTGCACAGATGCACGTGCCTGCACATGAATACAACTTAATCTTTAAAGGAAAATTAGAGGAGTGGGGGGGTAGTTTCTGGTCTATCTTTGATCCAGCTTTGTTAGTATTTCTGCTGAAAAATAATTCTAAATGTTGTATTGGTGTTGAGTGCCTTCTGCCTCCTGCCACACCATTTCTCCTTCCTCCTGGGGCCCTCCCTGAATTTCACCCACCAGGTTGGTGATGACTGTCCCTTAGCTGAAGCCCCCTAAGTTCCTACCTGAGAAGGATTCTGTGTCTGCTTCGCTCCACACTGTCTTTGGGGTTCATCGTGTGTCACTTCAGACCCTCAGCTGGAAGGTTAGATTCTAATCTTACCCAACACCATGCTTCAGTGAGAGTTTCTCACGGTTGGAAGAAGGGAGTATTTTGTAAATCAAGCTTGCCTTTGTTTTTGCCTAAAATTACTAGTTTTAAAAATTGGTTTGTTTGAAGTTTTATTTTGTTTATCATTGGCAATGGGTTTATTCAAGCACACTCAATAACCTGGTGAAAAAACTGATACTAAGAGGTGGATGCCGCTAAGCCTAGAGACCTGAGTTCAATTCCCAGAACCCATGTGACAGGAGAGGATCAGTTCCCATAAGTTGTTTTCTAACTTCCACCTGTGCGTCATAGTGCTTGCAAGTGCGCACAGACAGGCACACAAAATAGAGTGTAATTTAAAACATGTTTTTAAAGAGCAAATATTAGGGCTAGAGATGCAGCTCGGTGGTGGAACATTTGCCTAGCGTGTACAAGGCCCTGGGTCCCTTCTCCTGTATCACAAAAGCAATTAATAATCATATCGAGTGTCTGCTCCACCTCAGGCTCCTGGAGTGCTACAGAACTGACATCTTATTGATACCTCTGGAGAGGCATGTGATGGTATTCTTCAGTTAGGAATATAGAAGCCAGGGGTACAAAGGTGTGGCTCAGGCATAGAGAGTACGTATCTGCCATGCCTAAGACCTTGGGTTCCATCCCCGGCACCTCAAAGCAAATCCAAATTCCAGAGAACTGTGACTTAGCAAGTTGGGGTGCCCCAGGAAGACCCTGTCCTCTTGCCTGTTAGCAGAAACTGTATGAGCTCGGCCTCCAGAGGTGAAAGGTGAACCACATCTGCCTCGTAGTGACCTGAAAACCAAAGTAAAACTAATGAGACGAAAAAGTGTAATCATAAAGGGTGCTGGAGGAACCCTGTCTCAAGAAAAAGCCAAAAAAGAAAAAGAAAAAAGAAAGAAAAACAGCAGAACAAAAGTATAATCTTCAAACAATGCCTGACTCTGAACTTCCTCTCTATTTACACAATTCTCTGTTCTAGTTTGTGTCACTCACATTATTGGAACACATTGGCCAAATTTGCCTGACATGCGTGATTCAGATTTCACTGGTTAAGGCCTGGAGTTGTAACACAAGTGTCAGGATGCTTGCCTGGGGTGTTCAAGTCCCCATGTTCCATCCCCAGCTCTACAAAGTAAACACGTGGATAAATGAATTACAGTTGGAGGGCAGATGGTGTTGCTAGGTGGTAAAACTGTCTGATTAAGACCTTGAGTTATGCCCAGTGTGGTGGCACATGCCTTTAATCTCAGCACTAGGGAGGCACAGACAGATGGATCTCTGTTCGAGATCCAGGACAGGCTCCAAAGCTACAGAGAAACCCTGTCTCAAAAATCAAAAAAAAAAAAAAAAAAAAAAGAAAGAAAGAAAGAAAGAAAAAAAAAGACACACACACAAACGAACAAAATTCTATTTTTAACTGGTGAATACATCATTCACTGTAATTCATTTGAAGGACTAACAATCCCACAAATTGGAAAAGTTTTTTAAAACTGAAAAAAGCCTTCCCCTGTACCCAGGTTTAGCCACACATGAAGGGACACACACCAATGAACACTGAACTCCCGGGGCATAACCTTCACAGCTTCATTCCAGAAACTGATGCAACCATGAATCCACTCTTATCGCTGTCCGTGACTTCGGGAGCAGCCGTGGGCTTGCGGCTGTGTGGATGGGTGTCAGTTAGGTTGGTTATGCTCTGGTCATTGACATCTAAGTACCTCATACAAGTCTTCCTAAACATGTCCCAGCGAGCTGCTCTGAACCAGTCGCCTCCAGGACATGCTGGGCATTTCACACTGGGAGACTGGGAAAATAAACACGTCAACCATGAACTCATTTTCCTTAAAAAACAAAACCAGAAGACAAATAAACACACACACAAATGTAATAAATAAAAACATAAGCAAGAAATAAAAATCTGGGTCTCGAGGTTGACCTGGACAGAATGGGCAGCTGTGAATGGGGGCTCATCCAAGGACTTTTCCAGGTGTGCCTGGACCGGAGAGAGGGATGGGGCAGTGGGAGAAGCTGGGGAGGCCACAGGACACCATTCTCTCAGCCTGGGCTTCTCCCTAATGCCTCTGTGGGCCTGACTTCAGCTTCTCATCCACTGGCCTTAGAAAGCCCTGGAGCTGAGCTGCTGCTTTTGAGTAAAATGCAGGTGTGAACCTTGTGGTGAAGGACACAGCAGCCCTGGGACTCTGACAGTCTCAGTCATGCAGCATTTCCGGCCGGGTTGTTTTTAAGCCAGCAGTACCAGTTTTCAGTTGAACTGTGTTTTCCTTCCTGCAGTCCATAAGTGAGACTACTTGTGAGTTCTCGGCGTTCTGTTTTGAGGGAGCTCCTCCGCTGGCCCGGTCTGGGTTGGAAATAGAAATGATTTTCTTCCTCCCACACAGGCCAAGCGTGCAGAAAGGGGTGGGGCTTAAATTTGTCTCCAATTTCATTTCTAGGTGTTTCTTTTCCTTTGCTTGGAAAACAGATGGAGTATTGGGGTCACTCTTAAAGAAATTCTAACTTGTAACTTCAAGTGAGTCAGTGTTTTTACTTTAAAAAATTTTTGGTTCCACATTTATTTGTGTGTGGAGGTCAGAGGACACCTTATAGGAGTCCATTCTCTTCTTCCATCTTATGGGTCCTGTGCACAAACTCATGTTTGGCAGCAAGCACACTTGCCCACTGAACCAGTTCACCAGCCCAGTACTTTTTATTTTATTTTATTTTATTTTATTTTATTTACAGTGCTGGGAACTAAACCCAGAACCTCATATACGTTGAGAAAGTTTGCTCTGCACCAAACTTATAGCCTGACCCATACATGGTATTTTAGATACCCAAGAGAAAGGACAGTTACTCACAAGGATTCCTCCTGGGGTTGGAGGTCAACATGGTTGGTAGACTGCTTGCCTAGCGTGCCTGAGGGCCCTGAGTTCCATCCTTACCTGGATAAAACTCAACACATCACGGCGGTGTTCACTATGTGCTGCACTGGGGAGGTGGAGGCAGGAGAATCAGGACTTCAAGGTTATCGGAAGGTACATATTGAGTTTGGGGCCAGCCTGAAATACATGAGCCCCTGTCTCCAAGAAATAAAATAATTAAAGACACAGAAAATTTGTTCCTGCCTCTTGGTGACACAGAACCGTCCTCTAAACCCCCTTCACACACACACACACACACACACACACACACACACACACACACACACACACACACAATAAAAATACCCTAACAAGCCTAGTCAAAAAGGCTTGATAAGACCTGCCTGAGGGCTCTAGTAAATTCCAACTAGAGGAAAGGGTATCTGTCTTGGCTGCTCAGGTGTGAGGAGGGAGCAGCTATCTAGAGCTATCTATCACACTACCTAAGTTGGTTGGGCAGGTTTTGGTGGGGTTGTAAATTTGAATTAGATGCCAAAAAAAAAAAAAAAAAAAAGGGAAGGGGGGGGGGGAGGGGGGGAAGGAAGGAAACAAAACATAATAGAGTTTAGAACAGAGGGACCACTTAGAGATTAAAGTAGGAACTTTTATTTCCATTCTACTTAGACCTGGAAAAAGCAACACTTTCTCTTCAAACAAGGTCACATGGCACGCTGGACTTGGATCTGGCACACTCCAGAGTCACACACGCTGTCCTCTGTTATCGGCAGTGACAGGTTGACTTTGCGTGCAGCTAGATCCCATCCAGTCATGACCTAGTGTGATCTTTAGTCTATACATTTGCCTATGGCAACCACTCCCCAAGCTGAACTGTCACCGGGTGAAAGGGGACTTTAGGTAAGTCACTTCTCAGCGTGTTGTTGGCACTGGGAAAGCCAGGGCAGGAACCAAGCCAGGTCTCCAAGCTCCGAATAGAGAACATGACAAAGTCTGCGGAGCTGCAAAGAGCAGCTAGGAAGCTTGGCACTTCCAGGAAGGGCTCTCATGGGAGCTGCGGAGCTGCGGAGCTGCTGCCGGTGAAGTTGAGCCACGGGAGAAGCTGACAGTGAGGGTCCAACACAGCAGCATGAGCTGATGCTGATCAACTCCCTGCCAGCTCTGGCTTGCGCCCAAGTGTCCTGTGTATTCC